GTCAGCGTCGCTCTTATCTCCCTCGATGGAAATCATATCGCCCGCGGATATGTCCCCGCCGACGCTTCCGGCAGCGCTTTCACCGCCGTGCATGACGCCCGCCCCGACGCCCGGCGTCGTCTTCCCAGAGATGGGCGTTCCTCCACCGCCGACGCTCCCGGCAGCGCCTCCACCGCCAAGCGTGACGCCCGCCCCCGTGTTCCCAGCGGTGGGCACACCGGCACCGCCTCCTCCGCCAAGCGCCATGCCCACGCCCACGCCTCCGGAAAAAGCCATTCCGGCACCACCGACGGCGCCGGCAGCCCCACCACCGCCAAGCGGCGCATCCGGATTAAGGAGCAGGTGGTATTTCTGGCGTTTCACTTCCTCCGCATCCGCCGTCATACCATCCCCCCTCAGCATCTGCTCCAGGGTCCTCAGCTCGTCGATCCGGGCCTTCCGCCTATCGGCGTAGGAGGACTGTGCGATGGTTTCATTCAGGCCTTTAACCTGCTGCATCATGGACACAAGGAGAGAATGTCCCTCCTCCGCGAGCCTGAGCTGCTGGAGCGTTTGCTGTTCCTCGCCCTTTACTCTGCGCTTCTCCTCCCGTTCCTTCTGCTGCATGGCCCTCCTGCTGGCCCCCTCGTTGGCGCCAGTCAAACACTTGTAGGAGCGGTTACTTTTCACCGACACCTTTCCCGCCGAACCCTTGCCACCGATGCCCCTCTTCTTTCCCTTCCCCTTCCCCACGATCGGCCCCGCTCCTTTCGCCCGAGTGTCGCTGCCAGTGTCGCTGCTGGAGTTGGTGCTGCTGGAGTTTCCACCTCCAGACCCCGAAGTAGACGCATCACCCCCGGGGTTCCCGGTGTCGTCGTCCTCGTCGTCGGAGTCGCCCTCGTCCCCGTCAGCGCCCGCTCCGTCGTCCTCGCACTCCCCAGCGCCGGCAGGGCCGTTGCTCTCCCGAAACGAAACGTCATCGTCCGGGCAGGGGCTCAACGGTCCGTACAGTAGCCACGTAAACCAGCAAGGTGGGAGCCAGCCTTCTGGTTGCTCCCTCGCCAGGAGTTTCGTGAGATCGGGCACCACAGGGATCTTGATCTTGGTGGCCTTATCATTGTCCTTCGTGTTGGCCCTCTTGGCCAACGCCTCGTTCCGTTTCTTGGTGGCTTGCTTGACGGCCTTGTGCGCTGAATCTCGATTCTTATCCTCCCAGATCAAAGCGATGACCTCCACCATGAGGTCACCGTTTTGCTGCCCCGATTTTGGCTGTCCGTGTTCGTTTGTCGCCCTGCATATGCCGGAGCGGGGAGGAGGGCAGGGCATACAGTAGTGCCTGCGGTGAGAAGGTGGGTGCCTTGTTCTTCTCCAAGAGCAATGAGACGAAGCAATGCTCCTACTTCCATTTTTGTACCCAGGCACCAGAAACGAAAGATGGACAGTAGGAAATGCGGGACGGCGGTGGTATGGGCTAGCTAGCCAAGCCTAGTTCCAGCACGGGCAAAAATAAATACTCCACTTAACACATGATAATAATAACAAAAATAGCAATAATAATAATCGCAAATAAATTAAACGCGTCTTCCTACTCCGTATTTTTCTACGGCACGTCGGTGTGCAGCGATGCACTAAGTTGCAATTACCCAACCACCAAGCACACGTATGACTACCCACGTGAAGTGAGACTAAGGCCCCAGGGTCCTCTGCTACCTAAACAACCTCGACGAGAGTTTCGCTTTTACATGGCGTAAACAACCAAAAAGTCGACTGGTAGCCTACTCTGAGGCAGGATACGGTCAAGCCTTCTCCGACTATCGGAGTGCGCCACGTGGAGAGGTGCCAACACTAAAAGTTCAGTATCGCTCCAGGACTAGACTGGCCCACAATCAGAAATCTAAGAACATTCCTGAACCGACCAGTACACACGACACTCCCAGAAATCCACTCTGCATCGACGTACGTGTTAAAGTGCTGAGTGTATATCTTGAGCTCGCGGCGCTGTTCCTGACCTCTCGCGTAGCACTTCTTGAGCGTGCCGTCGAAGAGGCTGCAGTCGTCTGCGTTTTCCACAAGCGAGCAGACGAAAGGCACCAACGAAAAACACATTCAAAACAGGGGGCAGAAACAGGGGCAGATGGTGAGTTCGTGACGTCCGAAAACTCAGCAGTACACGACACCTATTTACTGCCACTTGCCCATGACACCGCTAATAATAGCAAGGGGGCGGACTCTCGGAAAAAGCGCTACAAACCCTATCCTGTATTTTGCGCTGGGTACCGCGCCTTCATTTCGGCAGGAGCAACTTATAGTTCCAACGCGTGTGTTTGACAGCGACCTAGATCTAGAGATGAGCATGTAGCGCGAAGGGCGCACATCGCAATGGAGGACCGGAGAGAGAGGGAAGGAAGCGGAACAAAAACAAATTAGCAGGTCTTACATGGCCTAGAGGTTTCATCTCGAACCCACTGGCAGCAAAGTCTGGAGTCCATCGAAGGCGATTAATTTGAGACTTTGTCGGTGAAAGCGATAACATAGCTGAAAAAGCTCGTGCGTACCAAACTTCGACCTACAGTAGTAGCACGTTGACGAGGGAAAGGACGGCCGTACCCTTCTCGCGATAAAAAGTTCCAGGCACGCACCGCAGGAGGAAGATGGGGCAAAAATCAAAAGCCCCAGTGTTACCCCCTCCTGAGTGACCTCGGCTGGTTGTAGCTGTCCAGAAAAATACACTAATAAGTGTAGGCACTACATACACCGCATACGCTGTGTAGGACGTCTCACCCTTGAACGGGGGGGACTGTCGCCAAAATATTTCGATGAGACGAAACACACACGCATCAGTGGCTTCCTAGGTTCGGGCGAGGGCATGTGTGGAGCTATGGCAGTGTATGTGTTGCTGTTTTGTGTGATTCATCTAGCTGCTGACACGATGACTGTTGGATCTTGGGAGTGTACGATAATCAAATTGGGAGATGCAGCATACCACGATATCCTGGCTTTGGCTGGGCTTGAAATAACCCTTTTGCTGTCCTCCGCTCTTTGCATCAGTGGCTTCCTGGGTTCGGGCGAGGGCATATGTGGAGCTATGGCAGTGTATGTATTGCTATGTTGGTTGAGTCATCTAGCTGCTGACACGATGACTGTTCGATCTTGGGAGTGTACGATCATCAAATTGGGAGATGCAGCATACCACGATATCATGGCTTTGGCTGGGCTTGAAATAACCCTTTTGCTTTACTCCGCTCTTTGCATCAGTGGCTTCCTAGATTCGAGCGAATGCATTTGTGTAGCTGAGATGTGTGTCTACGTGAAAGAACATGTGGAGAGAGTCGTATTGGCATTCGCATCAAGCGCGAAGCGCATTTTTCGAATTTTGGCCCCCTTCCAGGGACCTTGATTTTTACCCNCAACACACAACGGCTTCCACTCGCCTAGTACCTCGCCGGAGCCCGTGTTCTGCTGCTGCTTTCGAGAGGGATTGGTCCTCGCCTGTGCTCTGCGTGCTCTCGAGCACCTGCGGGCCAACAACTGCAGCGGAGCTAAATTGCCGCCTACACTTTGTACTGCAACCGGTAACATCCCTTCGGTATACACGAGTAAACAACAGCACGGAGCATTGTTGGATAGGTACCATCGCCATCGATGATACCAAAAATCAACAACGGGATGCTAGTTATCTAGAAATTGCACACACGCACAGACTGGCGTCTTCTTCATTGGTCAGCCGGTTAGCGCGGTCGATGCTAATAATAAAAGCACACACACA